ACCGGAAGGTTGGTGGTTCAAGCCCACCCAGGAGCGTAATTTTTTTTTTTATTTAATAAATTAAAAATGATTAAATTTATTTTTTTAAATCATAATTTGAATATAAAAAAAAATAGTCTATTTTACGACGTTTACCAAACATAAACCCATGCATATGATGTGACGTTTGATTGTGTAGGTGTTCCAACAACATGTCCACCTTGATCAACAATACATTTAAATCCACGATCATCTACAACATCACCATTTCTCCAGTCGAAACGAAAACCATTTGTAAAAAATACAGGATCTAAATCATGCATACGATATGCTGACCATTCAAGTGTACTACTTGTTACTTGTTGAAAATGTGTAAAACCTGAAACTTCAAAATGAAATTCGCCAGCATCAAAATAAAAAGCACTATCAAAATAATCTTCAGTTCCTGTTGATATAATTAAGCCTGGAAATTTTTGTTCATATTGTGGATAAGCATGATAACAACCTTCTAAGAAATTTAAATTTCCACTGCTAACAGCTAATGTATGTGAAAAAAGTAAACCATGACCAGTTGGTATATCAACAACACGTACCCATGCTAAAGGATCGTATGTTACACCTTCAATTTTATGTAAAGTTAAACGAGCAGTTGATGGAAGTTGAAAACCTTGAAATGATGTTGGTAAATTTTCTGTTCCACGAACAATTATCCAAATGATTTTATCATCTGAACTAGTCGATGGTAATTTACCAGTAACTCGAATTGATTTTTGAAATGGTACTCGACTATAAAATCAAGATGATTTCTTAAATAATAGATATATAAACTTACAAATTATTGTACCAACCACCAGATTTTGCTCCTTTACCAATCCATTTTGTTCCCCATGGTGCAGCTCTATCATTAAATCCAGCTCCAGCTAACATATAAGTTATAAATTGAATTGATGGAACAGCTTCTCCATCGATATAATACGAAAAAGTAGATGTATCAATTTCTAAATAAAAGAAACGAATTCCTGAAAAAAAACAAGACGATAAAAAATAATTTACCTGGATCACCAGTTGTCCAAAAATGTGTAAGAACACCAAAAGTTGAACCAGGAGAAAGTGTATGACTGAAAATTTCAGTCTAAAAAAACATACATACAAATTTTTATTATTAAACATAACACTTTCTTAAATTAACAATAACCTCAGTTTTATAAAGACGTTGACTGGATAGACCAGTACCAAATGTTAGTAATTCTTGAGCTTTTGTGGTTAGAATACACACAAATAATAAAATCCAGACATGCATCTTTCTTTTTTTAGATAACTAATGACTGAATATATGTTATTTTATTATCTCTTGTATTTATTTCTCACTTCTTTTTAAAAATGATAATCATTGTTTTCATAAGATAAATAAAATGATAACAAAAGAATTATATTTTTTTTTGATTTTCTATATAAATTAGGAGTTTAAGAAATGTCTATGCATATCTTTTGATAAATAATAGAAAAATTAATTAGTAGATAAAACATAATTTTGCAATATGATTGTTTTTTATGTAGAAAAAACAGCTGACTTTGACGATACATTTCATTGCAATAAAGAGTCATGACAAGGTATCTTTCACTGATAAAATAATATTTGCCTTTTTATTTTTCGCGCTTCATTGATTGCGTCGAAATATTTGTCAGACATAATACTGATGTAAATGATGAAGCAAGGCAGTGAAAAAAAAAGTCATATCGTGCATCGTATAATTGTTTCTACACGAAAGTCTCAACCAGAACATGAGAAAAGTCGATCGAAATCACCAGTTCAAAAATTTCAATATCAGATACCATCAAGTTTCTTTAGAGCAGTAGATAAAGCTCGATTAGAAGCTGGTTATGATATTCTACCACGTTTTCATAATCCATCATCATCATCATCATCATCATCTCATCGTACAGCATCATTATCATCGCTAGCTCTCGATCGGTCAAAAACGCACCATTTTACGAAACATAATGACTTTCATTCTTCGTCAATAGTAGATGTTGATAAAGCTTCTTCAAAACAAGTTCGATTTCATCATAAATTTCATAAACAATCTGATTCCGATCATCATCATCATCACCATCACCATCGTCATCATCATCGACGTCGTCATCGTAAGACATCAGAACAAACTGCATCGAATAGCTCACTATTACAATTAACAAGATCTATTAGCTCTCACAGACAGTCGGCTATTCCTAGAGCTACATCTTCTACTCGATCGAAAAATAGTTGATGTTTACAAAAAATTATTTCATTGATATACAATCTATTGGTAAACAATACTTATAAGGACAAAATAATTTTTCTTCTTTGTTATAAATGTATACTGTTTCCAAATGAACTTCAATTTATAAATATTCTACCTATTTATGATAGAATACTATGACCTTTTCTATTGCAAAGAATCGTTACGAGAAAAAATAGTTATATATTTTATGCTAGCTCTTTTAAATAGGAGTATATTTATTCCTTTAATACTTGTAATTTTGAAATATAACTAAGTATCAATCATAATTTTAGATTCTTTATATAAACATTATGACGTTGATATATATACCATCAAGATCATAAGATGTCCTCTTCGAATCAGCGTATAACCAAAAGATATCGGATATATCATATTCCTATAATGATAAACTATAAACAATCGAAATTCGATTTATAAAATCATACAATATTCTATTGAATATATTCCATATGATTTCTAAAAGATAATCAATTGTCAATATTGGATTTCCAAAAAACAAAATATTTATTACAAACTAGCGACATCTTTTTATACATCAAAACAAATAAAATATATCTTCAATGATAATCTTATAAAATAAGTCCTAATATTGATAAAAAATTTCGAAAAAATATGCAATTGAAAAATGTCTTGACTTCTCATCTCATGTATTGGAATTCCAATCATTCCTCCATCCATAAAATACATATGTTTTTTATTTATATTTATTCCATTATAATTGTTCTTCGTACATAACAGGATCAGCTCAGCTAAATTTTTATACAAAAAATTAAAATTATCGCGATATGTCTCGCGATGTTCATCGTAGTTCGATGAAAAAATTAAATCGTTCAAATAGTGATGATGATATACATCTCCGTCCAATGGCCACATTAATTCATTCAAAACCAACATCTCATGGTGCTGGTGAAACAAGTTTCGGTGCTCGAGATGATGGTTCATCGATGTCATCATCAAATGAATATGTTGCACCATCACCCTATCAAAATACTTCATCAGCTATAGCAGTAAGCTTCTTCTTCTTGTTTTTTCTTCTTAATAATAATTATTATCATCATCCCACCTACTGTTTATTCTTCTATATCCAGATATTTGATATATCATCTTTAAGTTTTGTATGAATATATTTGTTTCTTTTGCAAATTTATATTTTCTAATTATTTAAATCAATATTTCCTAATTGTTTTCTTTTTTCTCGAAGGGTGCTACAAGAGGATATATGACTGATCGTTATCATGTTACAGCCATACCAGAACAACAACCAACTGTTGTACATACATATGAATTATCATTACCGATTAAATTACTTCCGGGAGAAGATGATGTTAAATTAAAAGAAGGTATATATTAACAAATTGTTTCTTGACAGGAAAAAAATAAAAAAACATTCAATTATAGATATAACTTATCGAATACATAATCGATCGATACCATATCGAGGTGATTTAATTGTAACTAAATATCGTTTAATGTTTGTAACAAAACCACCTGATCCAATTCAAGTACGTAAAAATACATTTTCTTTCGTTTATTCTCTTTCTCGTAGAGAAGAGTCCAGTAAACATAAATTGTCTATCCGCAGAGTCAAAAAACACCGAAAATTGATTTTTCGATGCGAGGAGTTCGAATCTGAAGTCTGTTGGATGGTTATGATGAGGGGAGGATGCATTTCTACGAGAAAGAGCTAAGCGAGTCCTGGGACGAGTGTTACTTGTATTAATAATGAATATAAATGATGTTTTTTTTTAAAGGTACTTGTTGATGTACCATTAGGAATGATAAGTCAGATAGAAAAAATTGGTGGACAAACAAGAAGTAATATGAGTGATGGTGCTGCATATGGAATTGAAATAAATTGCAAAGTAAAGAGAAAAAGTTTATTTATTATTTTGCATCAAAACGAGAATATTTCTTTTTAGGATCTAAGACATTTCTTTTTTGGAAATGGAAAAGAACAAAATCAACGACGAAATTTACTTGATCATTTAACTCGTCTTGTTTTCCCATTTTCAATCAGTAAAGCAGATATCACAAATCCATTACAATTTTTTGGTGTAAGAATTTTGAAGAAAATTAAATTTAGACTAATTTTTTTTATCTTTAGTCTTTTTTTGCTTTGGATTATAAGAAAAAAATGTGTCCAAATGTAATTGATGAAGGATGGACATTGTACAATAAAATGAAAGATTATACGAGAATGGTATGTTCTATTTCAATAATAATACAAATAATCGATTATACTCTTCTTTTAATTCTATTCTCTTAGCTTAAAGTCAGTAGGAATACGTGTCTTTTTTGCTTCTATGACTTTAAACTAATTTCTTTTCAAATATAACATATTTTATTTCATACTAAAATTGTTTTTTTTTGTTTTGTTTAGGGTATTCAACAAAATTCAGATCCGCATTGGACAATCAATGCTGAAATAAATAAAAATTATGCATTATGCGATACATATCCAGATATTCTTGTTCTTCCGTCAAGTTTTGATACGACAAGATTACAACGTGTTGCTGATTTTCGTAGTCGAAATCGTATTCCAGTATGTAGAAAATAAAAGATATGTAAATATATACGTATTTATTATAATATAGGTATTAAGTTGGTATTCTCGGGAAACTTATGCAACTATAACACGATCAAGTCAACCATTAACTGGTTTAGCTAATCGAACATGTGATGATGATATTGAATTATTACGTAAAATAGCTGATGCAAATGTAAATCAAGGTTTTAAATTAATTATACTTGATGCACGTCCAAAAGTGAATGCTATGGCGAATATGGCAAATGGTGGTGGTTATGAAGATTATCCAAATTGTGAATTAGAATTTCATAATATACAAAATATTCATGTCATGAGAGAAAGGTAAAGAAGGAAAGGAAGAAAAACAAAACTTATGTAATTCTTTATTTAGTTTACGAAAGTTACATGCTGCTATACGCAATGCAGCGCACGATGATAAAACATGGTTTAGTGATTTAGAGAATTCAAATTGGTTATTTCATATTCGAGTAAGAGTCGCAAAAAAAATTAACTTCTGAAGTTTTATGTTTTTTTAATTTTAATAGGCAGTTTTAACTGCGGCAATTCGATTAGTATCATTAGTTCATAATGAAAAACGTTCAGTTTTAGTTCATTGCTCAGATGGATGGGATCGAACTGCACAAGTAAAAACAAAATAATGAAATATTCGTTTGTAATCTCGATGATTTATTTTTAGCTTACTTCATTAGCAATGCTGATGCTTGATGCACATTATAGAACATTGAATGGTTATATGATATTAATAGAAAAAGAATGGATTAGTTTTGGTCATAAATTTTTTATGGTATGAAAATTAAAAAAACAATTTAAGATTTTATTTTTATGAAATTCTATATTTAGCGTATTGGTCATGGAGATAAAAGTGATTCAGAAAGATCACCAGTATTTCTTCAATTTCTCGATTGTACATTTCAACTATTACAACAGGTAAATTTTTGATATTGACTTTGAAATCTCGAAGAAAATTTTATTTCGCAATAATTTCGTAATTTCCTATGACGCATGTCTACTGTTGTAGAGTAAGAAAAAGAAAAATTTCGGAGAGACACTGCGGTTTTCAATCTTTCTGTAGTTATAAAGTGGTTACAAGATGAGTATTTGTTCTAGTCAAGATTTTCAAAGGCTGATCCCTGCTCTGTACTTGTATAAAATGAGGGTCGGTACTATTTCCATCCTTCAGTCTAATCCTACCGAGGATCTATAAAATGACATCGTACAAATTTGCTTGCTACTATTTGAGTCGATCCTATTTCCAAAATTCGCGACAATAAATATATAGTTTCATTATAAAACCTTATTGTATATTTTTAGTTTCCATCGGCATTTGAATTCAATGAAAAATTATTAGTAACAATAGCTGATAATCTTTATTCATGTCAATATGGTACATTTTTACTTAATTCTGATAAGTTACGTACTGACATGAAAGTATCCGAACATACAATGTCAACATGGACACCTATATTACGTGACCGTCGATTATATTTAAATCCATCATATACTGAAAAATCCGACAAAGTTTTATTATTAAATAATTCATCACGTCATATAAAATTATGGAAAAATTATTATTGTCGTTATATGCCTGGTTATCGTTCAACTTTAGTAAGGAAATTTTCGATTTTTCTTTATCAAATAAAATATAATCTTTTCCAGGATGATTTAACACAACGTTATACAACATTACTTAATTTACGTAAAAAATTTACAGATGAAATAAATCATATTCGACAAGATGGTGAATATCATCAACAACAACAACAACAACAACAACCACGTTTATTATCTGGTACACTTTATCAAACTCCAATATCAACAACAACATCATCATCATCTACACAATCAAAATCAAATGTTGTTCAAGCAACAGCAACATTCATGACATAATAATTTTTTCAATTTTTTTTTTGTATATAATTTTTAAGCAGTGTCTTCTAGAAAAAAATCAAATTATGCAATATTTTTTTTTTGTGTCTGTTTGTTTGTTTAACGTTTAACGATAATCTCTTGTATGAATAATCTTCTCATTTTTTTTTTTTGCAGATCAAATTTTTTCTATTTTCAATAAGAAAAAACCAATCAAATGGCCTTAAGCAACGATGAACTTGCTTGTGTCTATGCAGCACTCATTTTGGCTGATGATAATGTTGATATCAAAGGTGATAAAATTGCAGCTATCTTAAAAGCAGCAAACTATGAAATTGAACCATATTGGCCTGGTCTCTTTGCTGGTGCATTAGAAGGTGTTAAAGTAACCGATCTTATTAAAAATATTGGTTCAGCTCCAGCTGCCGGTGCTGCTGCTGCTCCAGCAGCCGCTGCCGCTGACAAGAAAGGACCTGCCGCTAAAGAAGCACCAAAGAAAGAAGAAAAGAAGAAAGAAGAATCCGATGAAGAAGGAGATGATATGGTATGTTACTTTTTTATTTGAAATTTATTTTTGAAATTTATTTCTTTTTGTTTTCTAGGGTTTCGGTTTATTCGACTAAATTCAATCAATTTTGTAACACACATAATAGAACTATCATACATCGTTTTTTGTTCATATCAACGGTGTTTGTGTGTCTATCGTTTCCGATTTAAAATAAAAAGAAGATAAAAAATCAGTTCATGTCAAAGAGTTTTGTTTAAAGAAAAAAAAAGAATCATATAGAATATGCACATGATGTTTAATTAATGATTTTTGTGTACTCAAAAAGTGAATATACTACTAGAATCGGTCAGTGTGTCCGTCCGGCCGTTTATACGATAAATTTCGACAGGAATGGTAGATTTTGATGAAACTTTCTACACAATTCAGTCTCATCAAGATCTCGGTCGAGTTCGAAGACGAGCCTAATTGATCGGGCCATTCCCGAGTTGTTGAAAAAATATTGATATTTACCTATGATTTCCATATACACCTTTTGCAGTACACATAACTGTCGGATAAAATCCGAAGTTTTCTTATTTATTATATATGTACATTGAAATCGAGTAATATTTTGGTCTAATTCATCACCATAAAACTAATGTTTCATTAAAAGTCAAATCTTCGGAGTAAACAGTAAGAATATCAATTAGAAGGTTAGTCCAATCTATAATTATTTCGTCTTAAATTATAATTGAGAAAATACACTGATGATAACTCGTTCTAATAGCAAAGTAGGCAAATAATGAAAAACGATTTTTTGGCAGCATTACTCATCATTATTTGAAGAATGTCTACACTAATTAATATGCCGACTCTCATCGTAAGTTTCAAGTTATATATCGACTTTGTCGGACGACCACTTACTAGCCCAGTAACAGTAATCGGTAACGACAAACCGATGGATGATCGTCATCACTGCATCATTATGAAAACTTGAATCATACGAAATACAAGTGTTAGGAAATACCAGATGCCAATGTATCTACTTCTCCACAACATTACCTATTAAATTTTATTTGATCAAGACTAATAAAAAGTTCATCAATTCAATTCTAATACTTTTATTTATCTAACAAAAACTATATATTGAATAATCTATATAACAACAGTAATCTAATTAGAAATTGTAATATTTTAACAAATCTCAAAAAAATATTGTTGCACTAACAGCAATAATAAGAATCCAAAGAGAAGTACATGTTGATAAACTAGCATGACCATGTGGATTATCAGCAATTCGTGCTACTAATGGTTTATCATTCGATATTGTTCCATTTGGTTGAACATAAAACTGATTAGCATTATTAAATGATGTTTTTATAATTGGTTGAACATATTCAGTTTGTTTTTGTTTCGGAATGATTTTAACGTCAATTTCATCATCTAATTAAAAAGTGTTAGAAAATGTAAAATTTCTAATAGAAAATCTTACTTGGACAAAATTCAGTCATTGATACATTAGGACAATTATTTGAAGTTGAATGTAAAGATGGAATACGTGTTAAATGACATGTTTTTTCTAATAATTCATATGTCATATCATCAACTATACGTTCTTGAAAATCAAGTGGACAATATACATTCATATTTGATTCACATTTTTCAAGAAAAACAACATAAAACTTTCCTGGATCAAGCCATTGACATGCACTACGATTCATTTTAATTCCTAAAAATAAAAAAAAGATAAGAAATTTTATATTTAATTAAAACTATATATATGTACCTGCTTCAGTGATATTAATTCGATTTACAATATCTTCTTGTCCTTTAAAAATACAATCTACACGAAATGTTACATTAAATAATAATTCCATATCTGTGTCAACATAAATTTCTTTTGCTAATGGTTCACCATAAACAATAATTGGTGAATGAACAATTTTATCCGTAAATAAAACACCTGTATTCATACAACGACGACGTTCACCATTAATATTACATGGAAATATTATAAAACAGATAAGAATAATACGAATTATAGTCGTCATATTTGGAATGTTTAACTAATACAATTCACGTCTTCGATTGAAATGAATGATCTTCTCTCGTCCGTTCGCATAAAAACAAATTTTCTCTTTATAGAACGAAAGAATGGAATGAGATAATAGTTTAGAATAACAAGTAGCGAATGAAAATGTTAAGGAAAATAATAGTAACAACTATTCAAAATAATCTAATTATTATCTTCGGAGTATTATATCACTAATTTTAACTACACTCTAAGCTATGAAGAGAGTAAAAATAATATTATTCTTTTGATTTCAATATAATGATATAACATGTTTGTTTATTGATCCTTGGGTTCATGAAGTTTATAAATTTAGTCATATCTCTTTTGTTAATATTATATACGAGATTATTTTGATATATAGCACGCATGAATTTTAATTTAGCCAAGAATTTATTTAAGGCCTTGCGTTACATCGAATCGAATTCTATTATTAAACTATAACTTTATAGAAAGAAGTACGAACAAATTCATTAAGTAAATAATAAAACTATAATTTTAGTTAATCTTCTTTACTTTTCTTCGTTAGATACAATTAAAAAAATAATAACAGATAATAGCCGTCTATTTCATTTAAAAATGCAGCTGTTTCTATTACGTATTGTTGAAAAGTACTCTATGAATCTAAAAGAAAAGAATAAGAAAGACATTGCAAATATAAAATGTTATCATTATTTGTTTAAAGTCATATTTTATTATTATTATTATTATTTTACTAGCTAAACCATGCTTACTGCATCTCCAACTCATATATTACAAACCGAATCAACGGATACAATTAGTCATATTGTATTAAAAGCACCACGTGCACATGTTATAGAAAGTAATGGTGATGGATTTGGTTCTTATATTGAACGTTTAATAAATGTTGCTCATACAACACATCAATCATTTCCTAATCTTATGCATACATTAAATGATTTAATTAATTTTATTCACAAAGAACTTGAACGAACTTATGATAAATATCAATTTTCAATTATTGCAGGCAATCAGTTTGATCATGAACAAATTTTATCAAGTCATTTTGCTTTAATTGAACATACTGGAATAAAAATTCTTATTTTTTCATCAATTGGTTGTTCATATAAAATAATATCAACAACAACAACAGATAATATTGATGATAATACAAGATCGTTACCGTGGTAGATTATTATTATTATTTTAACTAGATATTATGAATTTATCTAACAAAAAATTTTTTTTGGTCATGTATATTTTATTAATTAAATACATATGATACAATTATTAATAAATGTTATTTCACTAGTCTAGTGACTAGACTCTAGTCAGTCATTGCATGCGATATATAACATGTGTGAAAGATGAATATCCATCGGAGTAGTTTATTTGACAATATATAAAACAAAAAACATAGAGTGTAATAAAGAACGGACGAATGTCTAGTTCATTGTTATAAAAGTCTACTGAACAAATGTATGAAGTAAATCTTAGCGTGACGACACGATTTTCAGCCATTCAATAAATTGTTGTTATAAAAGTCATTATATACATTCGAAAGAATATCTATCATTCCTAATTAATTGAATACTTTGCTATTTTATTCAACAACTGTCCAATGACACAATATCATCAATATATATATATATATACCTATCAGCAACTCTCTCATTTTAGACTTGACAAGGATACGATGAAGTGTATAAAGATATATATCTTTTTATAGACAAAGACAGACATATTCTTGTCAATAAGCTAACTAGAAATAATGATTTGGTATAACAAAAGATGATGTGTCTGTGTGTTAGTACTATTCGTTAGATACATATCTTTTTGACTATATATGTATTGTCAGCTGTTAAGGTAACAAGACTGTTAGATGTGCTCGTTAATGGAAATACAAATGTCATATACTTTCTTGTACAGAGTCGTTCTTTTTCTCTATTATAATTGTATTATATTATAGACATACGGCTCATCAATAGTAATAAGCTATGCACAACACAACAATTTCTATCATTACCAATAAATATTCGATACAACACAACTAACAATTGTTATTTTTTTTTCTGTTACTGCTTCTTGTTCTTGTATGTTACTATCAATACAATCTATTCTATTAGCAAAAATATAGTTATAAGACTGAGACAACAAGAAATTTAACTGATGTTTTGCTTATCGATCTATTTTGACTGTTAGCATCTGTGGATATATGCATGTGATGAAAGAAATTTTAAATATTTTTTTTATTACAAAGAAAAAAAGAGTAGAAATCTTATTTTTATATTGGTAAATGATATTTGCTTAAGTTAAATTTATGATAGTATATAAAACAATTGTCGAATGTCGCTTATCTTTGTATTTTGACCTTGAATAAGAAAAAAACAGAAAAAAAACACATAGAAACTTCGAAGGTTCTCTGTCTACTGCTGTGTATGATTATGTAGGCATACACACACACACACACGTTCTTCCTTCTTTTGGTAAGATTTTGTCCCTCGGTACGAATGTCGCCATCGTTGTATGTAATCAGAAAGAGAAGAAAAAAAGAGGACAAAAAAAAACGAAATTAAGACTTGTAGATGTGAAGCGTGTGAGTGTGAGAGAAAAAGTAGAGAGCATGAAAAAATACGAAGAAAAAAAACGAAAAGCGACGGAGAGATTGATTGCATTAGTATGAGCCGTGCACACGAATATGCAAACGTAAAAAAAAAGAGAATAGACAGAGAGCGAACGCTGTAAGCGAGTGATGCAAACACTTTCTTTATGTATACGTATATGCGTTTCGTTTTAAGAACAGATTCATTTTTTTTGTATGTACGTATGTATGTGTGTGTATGCATTTGAATGTTAGTGATGGTTTGTCGTTGTATGATCAGCTGTTCGAATATTTCATATAACAATTACATAGTATTGCCTTTTTTCGTCTTCTAATTGAATTTTATCTACAGTTTTTTTGAATATTACCTAGATTTAAAAGTACCGAGCAAGTATATTGTCTTCTTTCGTTTTTTTTT